TGGTGCTGAGGATTGAACCCAGGGTCTTGCACATGCGAGGTGAGTGCTCTACCACTGAGCCACAACCCCAGCCCCTGAGCAGCCAGCTTTTGAAATGTGATGGTGACCAAAGCCTCATGCTGAGGAAGCCACCTAGGGCAGTCACCTGACCCAGTCTCCTTTGCTTCGGTACATTTGAACTTTCCTGGGTGGCTGGATGCCCTCCTTCCTGCCAACCATTGGTCCTCAATATTGCAGAGTACCTTAAAATTTATTTTTAATTCTGTCACTTCAGGTGACCAAAATTGAAAATAACGAAGCCTGTTGTGTCATAGGCTATGTGGAAAGCAGAGAAATCATATTCTTAGCCTCAAACTGCCACTGCTCAGAAAGTAGTCAATTACTCTACAATCATTAAACCCCATTCTGACAATGTCCCAACTGATTTGAGTGAGGCTCCTAGTGTATCCTGCAGGTCTTTGAAAGGACTGAGACCTGACTCTGTTGATTCCTGCTGAGTACCTGGAGACTCTCATGGACTGGGGACTCTGATTGAGCCTCACCAAGGTTTCTGGGGACCTATCACGAATCACATGTCATGGAACCCATGTGCACCACAAATGGGAACTGATGGTCATGATCCAAGAGGCCTGAGACTTAATAGGCAGGCTCTGGGGACATGCTCAACTGGAGGTTGTCAGTTGACTGCTGGGGCATGGTGTGTTCACATTAACCAGTGGCAGGGCTCTGGTTACAAGGGATGTTCATCCACGTAGTGTAATTTAAGAGGCATAAGAGAAAAGTGACGTTGTTCAACAGGCTTCTATGTTTGTGTTTGTGGAATGGAATGTGCGGAGACAGGTATGAGCAGGTACTTTTTAAAGGACAGGACTTTCCAGAGCAGTGATTTGATTTGTTTATGCAATTTTAAGATGCAATTAGATTGTGTGTGTGTGTGTATGTGTGTGTGTGTGTGTGTGTGTGTGTGTGAGAGAGAGAGAGAGAGAGAGAGAGAGAGAGAGAGAGAGAGAGAAAGAGAGAGAGACAAAGGACAGAACACGTGAAATGTGCAGGGCAGGTGCAAGACAACCCTCTTCAGGTGCCCAGGGCATGGTGAGTCCAGGGTGGCAGCAGAAAGCAATGGCTGTGCTGAGGTCAGCTCTGGACTTTCCCTCTGTGCTGCACCTGAGGGTGCTGGTTGATCCTGTAGGACTCCCTGAGCACCCTGCCTTCCACTGGGCACCTTGTGTGCTCAGGATCCCTTCACCTGACAGTCTTCCTCCTCAGCTGAGGCCTCTAGCTCATCTTTCCTAGTTAGGTCTCCTAGCCACCATCTAAGCTCACTGTCTGGTAATGCCTGGTAATAGTTTCCCCTTACCTCCCCATGTCAGAAGACTGCTTCTAATCTTCTAATGACATTTTCCCTTCAATGTTCACAAACATACTCATTGTTGTTAACGATCTTTTCAAAGTCTTCATATTCTTCTTTAAAAAATATTTTTACATGACTGATCATTTTTTTCTACAAAAATTGCATCTCCTTGTTCTTGGGAACTACCTATCACCCTCCATGGATCCATATCCTTCTTCCTTGCCCCAATACTTTCTAACATTGGGAAGCTGTATTGCTCTCATCATTACAGTTGCAGTGTCTTTGAATGGAGACGTCCTTGGAAGCAACTCACTCACCTGAGACATCCGCCAACTATGCTCAATATCTGAGGGAAAGCAGCTGACATGTGTACGATATCTTTCAGTGTAATGGGGAAATATAATCTTTACTATCACTCTGTAGGGGATTACTCCATTTTATATTCAAAGTCCCTGAAAGAGTACTGTTACCTACCCCAGGTCACAGACCTTACTGAACTATAGAGCCAGGACTGGAAGTTCAACCTTCTGCTTTTGAAAGTCATCCCATTTTGATGACTTCTGCTGAGCCCAATTCCTCACAGAGCCAAATCGTCTGTCTTTGAAGAGTTCATTAGGTTGTTTCCCCAAAGCTGAGTGCAGGATATCAGTCAAAATTCTCTTGTAGCAAACCTGAGTTTGAGCAATTAGGGGACTTTAACTACTGAAGTTCTTAGTGAATTCAATTTTAGGGTCAGCCAAGTAATTTACAATTCTGAATTACAGGGGATTGAGTGCGGCTGCTTTGGGGTAAGTCAGCATTATTATCCTTGGTCTTGTTCTGGTTTCATCTTTGTCATTAAAAAGACTCTTTGGAGATCTGGCCCAGGCCAGCAGTGGCTTTCGGAAGCACTCCGAAGAGTGTATTTCTGTCATCAAGTGAAACCCGACTAAGGGAACCTGATTTAATAGCTCCACTGCGGACAGGGGTGTGATCAATCATAAGGCTTTAAAACCATGGCTGCAGCCACTTTGTCCTTCAACCTTCATGCACACCTATCAAATTTTAAGAATCGGAGTTGACTCCAGTTACTTTCCTTGGGAACATGCACTTCGATGAAAGCTTTTACTAAGACAATATATCATAAACTTCATGTTTCACGCTTTAAAAAAAATTCTCAACAAGAAAGAAAAATGCCCCAAGAAATGAGGCTGTTCTCCAGGCTTGGTAGGCAAGGACCTGCTGGCTTGCTGGGTGACTTGGGTATATATGTAGAACCATTAATTTGGAAGAGGTTACCAGGCATCAGAACACTCATTTCCAAGAATGGTGGATGCTTTTCCCTTAGGTGGGGGTTCTCTGTGAGTGACAGCAGGCATTGGATACCAACTCTGAGAATCAATTCTGGGAGACCATAAAAGATTAGTTTGGAGACTTTTATCTCCTTTGGTTAATAAATAATCCTTGCCACTAGACACTCAGATTCTTAAAGCTTGATAATGCAGACCAGATGACTTCTGAGGCAGATCACAACTCAGATGCCTTGATATTTGCCTTGGGCCTTATTTATACTTCATTTCTCCTTTATTTCCTACTAAAGCCCTGACCCTTAATTATCTCCTCTATTAGAAGTAACTTAATTGGGGCTGGGATTGTGGCTCAGAGGTAGAACGCTTGCCTAGTATGCGTGAGGCACTGGGTTCAATCCTCAGCACCACATAAATATAAAATAAAGACATTGTGTCCATATATAACTAAAAAATAAATATTTAAAAAAAGAAGTAACTTACTATCAGACTTAGAAACTAAGAAGCCCTTTAGAACATTAATAATCAACAAAGAACAACTGTCCCCCTTCTGAGGATGAAGGGGAATGTGTCAGATCCCACACCCCTATCTCTACCTTCTGCCTGAGATCTCATGTATTCTTACTTGAGCTGAGTATTATTGTGATTGATGGGATATAACCACAGACTTAAAAAAATGGAGGAAATCCTCACTCTGGACTGAAGGGAATGTGCGGTAGAATTTCAGACATTTTGATAGATGAGAGGAATACTTTCAAACAAGAGGCCTTAACTGTGATCACTCATACTACAGTGTAAAAGATCTGTGTGCAGATCTTGTAATTTTGCACATTCCTAGGTTGACATAAGAGAATCAAAGTTCCTTCAGCCAGCAAACTTATCTACCATTCTAGATATGATTGTGTCCAAACTTATGTCACTGTAAAGGAGCAAAATGTGTTACTAGGTGAATGCTCAACTGAATTATGGAATGTTTAGTGCATGCAGTATTGAGATCAACATCCCCAAGTGATGTTTGAATTTTTTCTTTTATCCATCTGGCTTAGTATTTACAGGGAAATCAACTGTTGCACCTATACTTCATATGTTTTGGTAAATTTGGGTGGAGAATCAGGACATATTAAATATTCATAGTATGTAAACTTTTCAAAACATTGTAACATGTTGATTTGCATCGATTCCCCTTGGCAATCCTCTGAAGTAGTAGGGTAAGTCATATTTCCCACACTTGACACTGATAAAACTGAGGTGTAAAGTTGTGTGTGAAGTGATTCATTTTACACCATTAATAAGATGCTGATTTAAGGCTTAAAGGTAAGTCTTTTCATTCTGAGTTCTATGATAATTTAAATTCATTCTTGCATAGTCTGCTGTTATAAAAAGAAAAAGCCTTTGGGCTGGGGATGTAGCTCAAGCAGTTGTGCGCTCGCCTGACATGCGTGCGGCCCGGGTTCGACTCAGTACCATATACAAAAAAAAAAAAAAAGCCCTGAGAGCCAAACTTGCCTTTCTTTAGAGTGGGCCAACATTTATTGCATTCTAGCTAAATCTATACAATCTGGGGTTTTCGAGATCCCTGGAACTCTGCTTAATGAAAAAGGCCCAACAACCCAGGAAAGAACAATTTTACTTGATATTTTTATTCACTTAACAGAAACATTCACTTATCAGATATCACTGAAATGCAATTTACAGAACTTAGAGGCAAATTAACATATGTAAATTCATATTTTAAGGTTTTGGATTTTTTACAAATCTTACAAATGTACATCCATTGGTACAATATTGCCATTCAATCATGCTTTTTATGTACAACCTTCAATTAAGAATGACTCTTAAGTTCATTTTGCTTAAAAAATGCTGAATATTAATTGGGCACTGCCGGGAAAGGTTTCTTAAACTGATGTGTATACTGCAGAGTGATAGAAATCTAGTGTCTGTGTGAAAAGAGGCACTAGAATCCAGATAATTTTATATTCATTTTTAAGGGTTACTTCATCTCTCCAAATCTGAGTTTGAAATGATGAGCTGGGAAATAAGAATTTTCTTTCACCAGGGTTTGGTACCTTTCCCTGCAGGATGATATTGTTTGGTCTAAATTTCTAGAGATGTGGCCATCCCAGTCCCTTTTGGTGGGAGGACAGATTGAATGGACATGTTCCAGGAGTCTAAAAAAATGGTGGCAAATCCCTGTAGTCAAGGTGTCACGAGAGCTTATAGGGAGTGTCCTCACCTGAGCATCAACCTGCTTGCATGCATCAGCTCCGGGGCAGAAATGCCTGGGACTTGAGGACCCCAGGGAACCAGAACAAAGGAAGCAGAAGTTTATGAGTAGAGAAGAGCAGATGGTAAGAAGGGGGAAAAGAAGGAGAGAGAGAGAGAGAGAGAGAGAGAGAGAGAGAGAGAGAGAGAGAGAGAGGCTGGGCAGAGCTGAGGCGAAGGTCACCTTGTTCTCTGCTTTCCCAGAATTGAGGGGTGGGAGAAATTTTGTCGCAACAAAGCTTCCTTGGTTCTCTGTGTCCGTCCCTTCGGTGGCCTGTATCTATTGTCTCTTTGTTTCTGCTTCCTCATTACCCCACCATATTTTACCTTATCTGATTCAAAATTGGTGAGAGAAGTTCGACAAGAGTCACTGACCTCCCAGCGTTCCCAGAAATGGCTGTCCTGCAGCAAGGCTGCGATGCGTCAGGACCAAGGACAGCGCAAGTACCCCCCACCAAGGCGGCTCCCTCCGTTCCACGCCACGCCCTCCTGCCCCGCCCCTCAGGCATCAAATACCAGCAAGACCTCAGAGAGGTGGGTTTGTCCCAGATAAAACTGCCCAGGGTGCTATATCATTTCCTGTGTAACCTCTGCAAAACTCAAAATGTGCAGGACAGTGAGTTTCCCAGTCCTGGACTAGAGTCTGGATTCTGCAGACTCTATTAGAGAAGGACAATGGAGAAACCAGCAAAAAGGTATGTCAGATTTTGCTGAGTGTCACGTGAGACTTCTGCCAAAAGAAGTGGTCAGAATAGTCAAATGGTAATATATAAAAAGAAAGACTTTTTCTGCCTTCCCTTTGGTTGCTATTAGAAAGTGGTATTTATTGTACTTTGGGCCAATTATGTTACTTTATTAGAATGGCTTCGTAAAAAACGAGTATATAAGCTTCCCTAAATTAAAAATGTCTACTATATTTAAGTTTAAACTGTCTTTTTTTTTAAAACAAGGTACTATAGGTTCATCTTGAAATTTATAATCTAAAAATAGGATCTCATCAAAATACTCTAACTATTCTACTCTGGGCATTGATATACTATGTATTTACTATTTATGGCTCTCCAGATATGGTAAATGCTATACCAAAAAAAAAGCATTCAACTTTATTGATAAGAACAATTTCCTGTGAAAAGTAAATCATGTGGAAAAATATGAGCTAAGAGTTTGTTGGAAAAGTAACTCAGCTTGATGTTTCTGAGGGAAGAGACATCACAAAAATCAGTAGTGGAATGGAAGATATATACAGGTTTAAAGAGAATCACAGAAATAAAAAGGAAATAATAGTTATAGACTTGCAAGTCCTTTTGTTGACAAAAACCAAGACCAAAGGAAATCCTAAATTCAATAACTTGATATTATACATTGTTGTGAACCTTGTGGAAGAGCAGAGTGTGCATAGCCACTCGGCCTTTCCCAGAGCTCAGGCCTGTGAAAAGCTTGCAAATGACCAGACACCGACTTTTTGACTCAGAACCAGGCAGGAAACCTTAGTTGCTTCTCTCCCCAGTAGGAAAGCAGGCTTTGCGTGGTCTTGAGGCAGGTACAGATGATGCTGATTTTATTTGGACTTTAATAGTGGTGCTAAATGGGTATGAATACAGCAGACAGAAAACTTTAGAACCAAGGATTTTGAGCCTTTCTGTGGCCTGAGGCACAAAAAAAAGGGGGGGGGGTGACAGTTTTGAGGCAAATCAGATGGACAGAGGGACAAAGTGACAGAAGCTGGGGGGTCTCTGTCCTTTATCCTTTTTGTTCTGCTTGGTTTTATATATATTTTCTCCTCAGGGTGACCGAGTTACTCCTTTCCAATATATTTGTGTTTGATTCTCCTTACAGAACCCTGTGAACTACTCCACTCAGCAGTCGCCATGCAGCCTGGCCCTAGCCTAAAATTTGCGATGGGGTGTTCTAAACACCAGAGGAGTGAAATATCTAGGTGTCCAGCACTGGCCCTTTGGTCTCAGAGCTGACATGACCTGCCAGTCAGGAGCAGCATACCTGTGACACAACCTGGTCCTTGTGTGCGGTCCTAACTTGGATTGCTTCAGAGTGTAAAGGATTCAATCCTCCACTCTCCCTCCTTAACTCCCCTCTGTTCTTCCCATTCCTTGAAGATCATCTTTTCCAAAGCCCTGGCTTCCTGACCTCAGTGGTCTCAACAGTTTCTTTCTCCTTTCTCCTTATGGGGCCTGGGATCCTTTCGTCCTTTGCTCCATTTCCCTCCCCATTTCACATTCACAGACAACTCCCTACAAAAAACACTGATTCCCAAGCTTACTTTTTGCTGCATTAAGAATTCGTCTTGGGCTGGGTTGTGGCTCAGTGGTAGAGCGCTTGCCTAGCACTAGTGAGGCACTGGGTTTGATCCTCAGCACCACATTAAAAAAAAAAAGAACTAACAAAATAAAGTTATTAAAAAATTCTTCTCTTGCTATTAACCTCGGCAGAGCCTCCATCTTTCCTTCCAAGGAGTCTCCTGTTGACTTAATAAGTGACTATGCTAGTGCTAAGATGGGGAGAATGGAGTCACTGGACAGCTTTCCTCAGTAGATACTTGTGTTTTAGTAAAGTTTGGGTAGTTTCTGGACAGCAGTGCCCTGGTCAAAATGAATCATGGCTACATAGCTACAGTTCAGGAGTTGCAGGGAGGTAATTACTTTCCACATTCTTTACTTCAGATCGTACAGGTGGCACCAGGAGCCCATTTGTAGGATGCCCTATGTTGCCTTTCCTGTCATGGAGAAGACCCTGCTGTAAATGCTAATCTCCTTGTTGTACAAGAACACTGTCTGGAGCATGTTGATATAACGTGTGTATGCCTTCTTCAAACAACAACTCAGAATATGAGGAATTTGAGATTCGGCTCACAGATTTCAACCAGGAACTAAAGGGGCTTCCACTTTCGGAGAAAGGCTCCAGATGTCAGATGGTTGAGAGACAGTGTCTAAGTCATAAACCAGCCCTCAGGGATTTTTTTGGTTCTCTAGGTATCATCTTAGTGATGCATCAAGTGATCAGAAATTCTAAACTGGTCCTTTGATCTCAGCCTGTACACTGAATAAAGATTTCATTTCATTTTCTCAATTTTTGTGAAATTATGAATTATCGGTTTGCAAAATCATGTTCATAACTTTCAAAACTTTATCTTGAAGTAGTAGTCTACTACAGACTCCATTTTCTTTTCTAAAAGGACTTGAGCCATAAATTTAGTCTCATATTAAATCCCACCAAGAGTTTCTATTTTCATACTAATATCTCTACTTCTTATTTTCTTGAATGAAATAGCTACAACTCAGTTTGTTTCATTTTTGCCTCATTGCTATGATACTTGTACTATGTGCTAGAGTATATACAGTGTGATGTAATGCTTGCACTCTTAGGGAGTGGGCAGCTGGAATTCTAACTAGGAAGCTCATACTCCAGAGGTAGCTACTTCTATGCTTTGTTACTTAGCACAATGCATTTCAGATAGGAATGTTTTAATTGGATAAATTAGAAACTTGTTAACTAGCATGATGAATATTAGAAATGAGTTCTCCATGGTAAGATAATAATAAATCAAGGAACAAGGGTTGACTACTGACGTGTTCGAGAAGGGCCTCACCCTCGCATGGATGCAGCACCTCTCCTCGTAGCAAATGATGCTAAAAGGTCCTGTGTACAGCCGTGAACCTGGATGCTTGTCCTAAATGTGATAGAACTCAGCTTCTTGCATTTTGGCAGCTGTCATAAATTGATATTTTTTGTTATGCAAGAAGGTGATTGGAGGACCTGAAAGAATAGAGAGGTTGTAGCTTTTCAAGCTTAAAGATTGTTTTGAGTTTTTTTTTTTTTTTTGACTTTGTTTTGGATTTGACCCAAGACTCAGTTTCCTTGTTACCTGGTAGGGAAATTGTAGGGTGGTGGCTGACAATGATACAACTCAAACTTCAATGCCTATTCTTACCTGCCAAAAGAAACCAAGAGCTGTGATTGATAGAGCAGGCGTGGCTTGGTTTGTAGCACTCAGTAGACCTGTGGAGATGGGTTTCTTGCATTGCAGTGGCAGAGCACTGGTGCCTAGGGTTACTATTCCTCTGCATGGCAAGAATGGTTTTCATTTCTCTGGTCTTATTTTAGTTGTTCTCTGATATTGTGCAACTCAAATCCTTTTTGAAAAGAGGTGGAGAGATCTAAATGAATAATGAAAATGTTTGAGCATTCCTATTGGTTTCTTTGGGCTGGGGGTGCCCATGGCTTTTCTCTTTACTCTTGGCTTATCTTGAAGTGTCACATCAACATGTGCTAATGAGACCCAAACACATCACTAGAGAGGCTCATAGAAGGGAAGGGAAGCTCAGGGGGTGGTGCAGGAGGCTGTTTCTAACTAGTCACGCCTTAATACCACTTTCAAGGCTGCGTCTAAGCTCCTCACACCCAAGTAGAGGTTCTTCCCCTTTGACACCACCAAGAAGAGATGGAGCCAAGCAAGGGCACTTTAACCACCAGGTATGATGGATAAGACCATGGGGGCCAGCAGCCTGGGGAGAAGCAGCAGGTTCCGAATTCAAACCTAGTAGCTCATCCACACATTGAACACTTTTGTGATTTCTGGAACACTGAAGGAAAATGAATGCCGAGAATTGATGGACACACCACAGGGCTCCACATGTGGCTGCCTCCTCTCCAGGTTTCTCACTCCAGTCCAGTAGCAAAAGAGTCAGAGAGTGACTCAGAGAGTTAGTAGGAACTGGTCTTGCTCCGGAGGTTTCCTCACCCAGGTGCCCAGACCGGCTTTCTGAAAAGCCTTAAATAGCTGTTGTTTAACAGACTGGTAGGTGTGAGCCCCCAGCTTGGCCTCACAGTACATGGATGGCGTGTCTTCATGGCTTGGTGTCCATGTGCTCAGCTGCGGACAGAAGGAGAAAAAGGAAATTAACCACCAGTACAAATAAGAGCCTCTACCAGAGGCGTTTTTAAGCCCAACATAATCTCTTGGGCTCAGTGTTTTCTTTTTCTTTCTCTCTTCCTTTAAAACAAAAAACCAAAATATTATAAAAAGCATCTGTGGTGCTAGTGACCCATTTCTATCAGGCAATTCTTTGGAAAACTCAGGTATGAAGAAAACTTCATCAGAAGTGTGAATGATTTAAAAGACATGTAACTTATAATTTGACTGTTATCAAAAATCTAGACTCTGGGATTAGAGATGTGGCTTAATGGTAGACTGCTTGCCTGGAAAGAATGAGGCCCTGGGTTCAATTCCCAGCACAAGAAAAAAAAAATCTCAACACTGTTTTTTCTTTCTGGAGGAGGATTAGGGGCTCAAAATGGGGCAGTGGCCATGAATGACTGTGGGCATGAACGTAACATCATGGCAGGCAGGAAAGAGGAAGGGCTTTGAGTTATTTTTCTATTTGACCAAAGGACAAAGAAAATATGATGGGTTCCCCATCAGCCTTTTGAATTATAACAGGCAAAGCTTCGGAGTCAGCATAAGGCAGGAGTCAAATATAGCTTCAATTCCCCCATCGAGGGGAAGATGGGAGGGCAGGCGGGTGATGGGGAGCCCCAAATCACACTGCAGCATCTTCTGGGGGAGAGTTTGTAGATCAGCATGCCCATCTGCTGGCCAATGTCTTTTTGAGCATGTGGAAAAGTAGAGGCCCTATTTGTTTAGCAAGATAAAATCAGTGCTTCTCTGACCTTCCAAAGTCTATAGAAGTGAGACATGGGAAAGTGGGGGCTGAGACCCTGGGTCAGAGCTGTAGGATGTCTGGCCACAGACCCATGTCCACGTACAATGGCTGAGGCAGAGGCAGAAGCCACTGCCAAGCTCAGAGCTAAGTATGCAAATTTCAGTGCCCTCTAAATTGACACACACACACATAAAAAAAAGAAAAAAAGACCCCCCCAATCCCTCAAAATAAAAAACAAAACAAAACAAACAAATAACAATTAAGTCTCTGTGCATCTCTGCTGTTCTTTTACTGGTTGCTACATCGGCTGCAACACTGTTTAACACCATTACTTCTATTTGGATTCATTGCCTGAGTACAAAGTATAAAAAATCAAGCCAAACAATTATTTATTTATTTATTTTTTTGGGGGGTTATTCTTTCTGTCTTTATTTCTTCCTTTCTTTATTTTTTCCTCCCTTTGGTTACAATCTACTATGCTTTGGAAGCACATGAAAACACACATCTCAATTAAAACCCCAGAAATACAGTTATTTCCTTATTTCTGGAGGAGGAAGCAGATTCTGAAATGGGTAGGCTTCAGGGCTGGGGAGAAATCCTGACCCTGAAATTCACTGCCTGTGAAATTTTGAGGAAAATTATTCCACTTCGTAGCTTCCTTATATCTGAATATATTAGGAATAACACTGAGGACAGTATTGACTTCAAAAAGCTTCCATGTGATTTTCTTATGACACCCTGGGTTCAGCGGGGGCAGGGCCTGGCCACACTGTGTTCTGCAGTAAGCTTTCCTGTGTGACCCCCAAGCTCCCACGCTGCTAGTCTGGGGACCACACTTGGGTGGTGGAGTGTCAAGTCTACGGGGGACACTTTGCGTGGCCTGGGCAGTGGAGAGGAGGAAACACTACGGGAGCTGGTTTTTGCGTCCTATGTCACCCTCACCACAGACCAAATGATGGTCCCTGGCCACGAGCCTGAGTCCTGTTGCAGCTAGCTTTACCCCAGAAAGGACAGGTGTGACCTACCCTACCATACAGCCGTGCCCAGCGGGCAGAGAACACGTGCTTGCAGAGCCTGGAGGAGCCCCCGCAGCTCCTCCTGCCAGTGGTGGCATTAATAATCTCCAGGTCTGCGTTGCCCACGACCCAGTTCACACTGAAGTGGGGCGACTTCCCTGGCTGCCGGGCCTCTGCATTACTCACTCCTGTCAAGAGGGAGACAGAAAGCAGGCAAGCATTAACATCCCTGGCCCCGCACTGGCCTCCCGCGAGAGCGCATCCTGGGCGGTGACACCCGCGCTTGAGCTAGTGCAGAGTCACACATGTCATTCCGCTTTCCATCCTCAAAATGAGGGCAGTTCATGTTGAGGTGATGGTACTTGTACAACTGGAGGGTGGAAATCAAGCACGGCCCTGAGGACAGTCTCATGCTCAAAAGTCACTGCTGGCCCCTGTTTTTAACCTTTCAATTTAAAGGATTTTTATGCGCAGTTTAGTAATAATAAAACTCAGCCCAGGTTTTTTTCCCCTTCTCTAAATGTTTGTTGAGTGAATTAATGAACAAACAGAACTGCGTATAAACAAGTTAAGAAAGTGTGTTTATTTGACACCCACTGCATGCCCAGCCCTCTTCAAGGTAAAACACTGAGGTGGTAAACAATACCAGGCAGATCCTTAGGCTTATAGTTTAATTAATGAGAAAAAAAAGCACTAATATAAATAAGAGAGATATAAGAGTATGGGATAAGTAATCAAACAATGTGATCTAGAAATAGCACTAGCTACAAAATTTGCAAGCCTCACTGCAAAAATAAACATGAAAGTCCCCTTGTCTGAAAGTTATCAATGAGTTTTAAGACCACAGCAGAATATGAATCCAAATGTAGGTTCTACTAAGCTCAGGTTCCCGGGGTGAGTCATGCGTCCATGAAACTGGTGCTGCCCCAAAGCATCCAGATTTTCCAGGGAAGTCCTTGTTTTTAGATGAATTTCCCCTTGTCAGACTGTGCACTGTGACTTTGAATCAGAGTGCACCAACCTGGTGGTCGCAGCCTCCTACAGCAGAGTGGAGGGAGAAAGCAGAGCCCTCCCACTTTGCAGTCTGGGGCCAGCCACACTTCTCAGCTCCTAACCTCAGCCCAGTGTCAACTTCTGCCCAGCCACCCTGCAGTGCTCCCCTGCTGATCAGGACTTCCTGGAGATGCTGGGCGAGGTGTCTGGTGAGCATGTGCCTGGCTCTCCTCGTCCAGGGACACCATCCTGAGGATCCCAACCCGTCTAATATTGTGGTGCTGCTTTGCCTTCCCATATGTTGTCTTTCTTCTTCCCTCCTGAAGGTTATGTTTGCCAACCTGTGACCTTGGGGAGGTCCCCATGCTGCAGTAGTTTGGAGGCGAGGTGCCCCTGATGACCATGGCCAGATGGTTTCCATGTGCTGGACTTCCTTGTGGCAACCCTATGCGTAATAGATTTGACCCTCATCATTTCTAGAGGCTGTGCCATATGGTCCAGTCTCTGCTGAGTCTCATGGTCCAACCATAAAAATAAGTAGGGAAGGAATTTAGTCTCTGTTCACTCCAAGAAAATTCTGGGATGTTTGGTTTGTAACCCAGAAACCCTGGTCATGTGACCCTTATCAGTGCCTCTTGAATCTCTCACCATACCCAGGGCCCCTGCAGCGTCTCCATGATACTTTCCCCAAACTCAGCCCAGCTGAACCTCTCGGCCCTCTTGTCCAGTTTCACCTTATGAAGGTCAGTCCTGACGCTCCAGCCCTGCCCGTGTCTCCATGTGCCTTGGGTCCTACTTTCCAGCAGGACACATGAGGTAAAGGGATGCAGCAGAGCCTCTCAGGTGCAGGCCCTGCATCTTGGAGAGATGGGAGCCTGCAGAGAAGCATGGGAGTTTTTGGCAGGTACACTGTGTTTAGGCCACTGGGATGGCTGCTCAGAAGTCCCAGCCATGTGTCACTGATGTTGGTGGAGAAGCCCAGGTGTTGGGAAAGCAGTCCAGGCGCCAAGCACTGGCTGGCTGAGCACAGTCAAGTCCTGCAGTAGACTCCCTGTGCTGGAACTGTCCCCGTGCTGAGTGGAAGCTCAGCACACAGTGCCTTTGTGGACACAGACTTCATTTAAATTCTGGGGGAGAGCCCATCAACTCGGAGCTGCAAAGCCACAGATCCCAGGATCCTTCTGCATCCCCAGCTTCACCCCGGGTCCAGGGGCTTCTTGGATAGATAGAATGGAGGCCCACTCTCTGAGTACACTGACATCTGAGTTTTCTGTCTGCCACTTACACAGCCTGGACTTCACACTGAAAGTCACCCTATGACCTTCCTCTGGTCATGCATGGCCAGTGTTGGGTGTTTAGGCTAATTCTATTTGTGTCAGCTTTTTCCTAGAAGTGATTCTTTGTGGTAGCTGCCCACCCCTGAGAGCTGGGCAGAGGGGACAATCTGGCCCATTGGCAGCCATGGGCTGTCCTACTGGGCAGGGACCACCTTGGCAGGAGGAGGCAGCTGCTGAGGTCAGGGATGACTGGGTACCAAGAGAGACGGTCATTGCCCCAGATTTATGCAGCCAGGCTCAGCAGCATGGCCGCCTCCTTGTCCTCCTCCTCCCCTCCCCTCCCCTCCCCTCCTATCCCTCTAGTCTCTACAATGGGCAGGGCTGACCACTGAGGCTCAGAGCTTGGTTTTCTCCAAGGTGCTAAACTCTGCCCTGAGGAAACCCTGGAGTGCCTGATGTCAACATGGGACATGCCCGGCTCCTGGCAGGGCGCGTCGCCTCCTGCCCTCTTCTCTGTGCTGTCAAAGTGTTGCTGGCTCTCAGCGCACAGACACCTGCCTTGGAGAGGGCCCAGCTGCAGCCTCACTGGGCTCTGCTCCCAACATCCTTGGCTGCCAGCCTCACAGGGGCCCAGATAGCACTGGGAAGGCAGCCACGAGGGTGCTCATGTCAACTTTGCATGCGCTCTGCTCCACATGGGGGGGCAAAGGGGAAGAAAGGAAGGAACACAGGCCGTGCTGCGAGGGAAAGTGTGGCTGATGGGCCCCTGGGATTCCACTTGCAGACAAGGCTTGTGCCTCAGGAATCTGGAGACTTGAGTCCAGGCCCATCTTCTCTCTGGGACCCTGGTACACGCTGTTCTTTTTCCTTCCTTTGCTTTCTGACAGGGTAACTTTGTTTCACAAGGTGATGTGAAGATCAAACAGGTCAGATAAGAGCACTTTTAAGGCATTAAGTGTTATGGGTATTGTTATTTCCATCCGGAGGAAGATTTAAAGGTCAACTCTAGTTTGTTTAGTGCTTTCAAAGTCACACAGATCAAAAAATGTTCCCAGTTAGTTACTCCATTCCCTGGAACAATTAGGTAATAACCCCATTCACTTAGATACACCTAATTATTTTGGGGAATGGAGAACTCATTGACCAAAGGCCAGGATGTCTTTTCTGTTAAACATTTTTGTTTTCATATGTGTTTGTTCAACATATGGCCTTACTACCTCTGTAGGAGACCTAATTGTCTACTTATACTTTGAGCCTCTAGTTTAAGGATTATCTCCCTTTTGTCCTTTGTTTGCAACAACAACAACAAAAAAGACTTTCCAAAGCAACCTGGAAGAATGACAATCTCGCCATCCGCCTTTAAAAATAAATCCACCATAAAGATAAAGCACTTGGAATGTTTACTAAATATTCATGCCAGCAGTACAATTTTTGACATCACTGTAATTAACGATGGCTGCCGATTATACCCAAGGAGATGAAGCCACTATGCCAGACTCACTTGAATCTAATATGTAAATTTACCAACGTGCAAGGGAACATACAGTTACCTCACAGAACATTCATGTCAGTCTGATGTTATGTTCTCTTTCTGCAGGCAAACCCTGCACAGATACAAATCTCCTGGTCACTGTGATGGAGCCAGGGACAGTAGTTGTATTGCCCAAACATTGACCACCACCAGGCTACTTCTTTACTCCAGAGGGATGAGTCCTCCTGGAAACAGGTGTGAAAGCTCTGGGGTGGCTACCTTTTCCTACCTGTCATGAATGCCTTGTGCCAACCTGTGCTACTTTGATTTGTTTTCCCACTTTCCTGTTTCAGGATGATTCTCTCCTTTTTTTCCCTTGATCTTGTATCACATCAACATATATAATTTCTCAGCTGAGCTGATCTTCTGGATATATATTAACAGGATTCATAGGTGGCCCCTATTTTACTTGTTTGTTTCCTCCTGGAGGACATTCTTGGTTTCAAATGAAACTTTTTCACATATAGGAATGACCTCACTATTTCTATATTGATTTTATCATTTTACGTCAACTCCCTGGGTGCTGTTTCGTAATTCCTGCCTGTCAACATGTACACACAGGATCCTCCATGGAGTGTTTTCAAGAGCTCATTTGTCCGTTTTCTCACATTGTATTTATTGAGCCTTTTTAGGCCAAGGAGTATCGGGATTTTGAAACTTAGGGCCCAGACTGTCTAACTCAGTGTTGAATCGTGATATTTTAGATGGTACTGGACATGTTTGCTCAAATCTAGAAATGAAAGTCTGGTTTGTATTTATGTGTTTAATCGTTTTTTTTTCTTTCTCTCTATGGTTAGGCACTTTGAAAAGGAAAGAAGAGTGTAAATTCCTGGCCTATACTTCCTGAAGTAGACATCAGACATGAAATGATTGAAGACTAAACTGGAGTCCCTAGGACACCGTAAATGACAGTCCCAGGTGTACCTAAGACCTGCTCCACATGTTCCTCAAGACAACACATTAGCACAAACCTGGAAATCTAATGCGCTCAGAAAGTATAACAGCACCTCCTGTCCCCATTCACAGCATGAAGGTTCTTCAGCCGTCTCCCTCCAGTGAAAGACAGCAATGGGTCAGAGTGTGACAGCTGACCTGGTACACCCGAGTCCTGGTTCAGATTTTAGGGGAACGCTTTTGTGGCCTGAGCCCAGAAAACCTGAGCACTGTGCCAAAAAGAAAAGAGTGTCCTCATCGTGAACCCATGACAGACCAACACTCAGACACCGCCATGTGATAAATGGTGTTGGCTTAAGTCTGTGGACTTCATTACACACCCATGCTGGGGCATCCTGTTCCTCTCTGCAGATCACCCTAAATAAGGTTCTGGGCACTTGTTCCCTGACATCCAGAAATTAAATCAAATAAAAATAAAACTAACTCAATAGGA